AGAGAAAACTCAACGCTCCCTCATGCTTTTCCTCAAAGCCCACATTAATAACTGCTAAATGAAAGTAAACCCGCCATATGTTATTCATAATTATCACGTTGAACATGTCACATTGTACAATTGTTTCTGGTTTAGCTACGGTACAAACGGCACAGTGGTGCCCTATTGTCTTCCACAGCTGGATAGCATACATAATTATGCTCATTCTGCCAATTATGTAATGGCGCCCCAATTACACAATGAGTAAACACACACAGACTTGGCCACACATCAGAAGATAACTGCGATATGATAAAAATGCTGACTGGCAGGTAAAGAGGAGATTAGAATCAACCAGTTAGACCACAGTCAACACCGCCGTCAGCACGAAAGCAACAGTTACAGTAGGAGAGTTTTCTGTGTGCCTATGTGTATTTACGTGACAGGATTTAGTGTAGAGATATGACAAACGCTTCGCCTTCGGAGCATTAATGTCACATGGCTGAGGGAGAAGGGCTGAAGTGGCTTTCAGATTACAGGTTTAACATACAGGGAGAGCGCAGAGACACACAAAGGAAGCTTTTCTTCCACCAGCTGATACATTTTACACTTCATGTCTCATGTCTGGGGTTCAAACAGTTCACATCTTGTTGTAGGACTTTGAAGTAGTCACAGTAAGGGATGGGTATCGAGAACCGGTACTAAATCAGTACCGGTAGCCGATTGGATTGGACGGTATCGGTATACAGTTAAGCCGCTTGACAAACGGTGCTGCTATCGGTATATGAATTACGCTACTTCCTTAGTTTAAAACAATTCTGGTTGGTTGGGAACCCTCATCCCGTGTGACGTATCCGGTTTGAGTACCACTCTGATTGGCCACTGTGAATACCACTCGTCATCTCTCCTAACAGCGCTCTGGGGCAGACGCAACATCATGCAAGAAACAGCGTCTCAAGGCTTACTAACATTTAACAACCTATTAATGATGCAATAAACTCAGCTAACAGACGATATGAACCATTTTACCTACACAGAACAGAAGTCCAACACCAAGAGTCTAAATCAACACTTAGCAAAACGGGCTAATGGCTACTTTAGCACATAACTGGCAAAAACGATATTTTCTACGTCATTTTATCTGCACAAACGACATAATACATGAAAGCTGAGATTCCAAAGATTCCATTGGTATAAGTCTCATCACTGTACGACCAAACCTCACTGAACTAGCAGCCAGGAAAGAGCAAGAAAACAACTTCACTTTACGTAGCCATGAGGATTATGTCTTACCTTTGCTAGTGTTTTGTGATCAAAAGTTGTGTTCAAGGGCATAAAAACGGTTAATCCAATGTCTCTGTGTAACTTTAAAATGATTACTGATAATCCATCATTACAATTATAAATAATAAACAGATTATAATGGTTAGACGACCGGAGCTTCCGGTTTAGGAGGTGCGCACGCAGCGTCTCGTTCTAACTGAATAATGGTCATGTTTACATGGATTTATGAGCTGCCCCTAATTACCGCCCCCCTTCCAGAGACACACTATCAAACACGCTCATACCTGCTTGGTATGACATTGAAAAAGCTACATTAAATAATAAATACAAATAAATTACAATAAAATGACTTTTTAATGACTGTTTAATCTTCACATCTTGTAATCATGTCTATAATTTTGAGCACCAAATTATTGAAAAGTATTGATAAGAATATCGAAAAATACCTGTATCGCAGTATTGGTATCGATACAATGCTAATGATGCCCATCCCTAGTCACAGTGGATTACAAAGTGACTGCGCTGTGACTGTTGTGCGAAACATTTATAAGCAGGAATGTAATGTGAGTCTTTATGCGTGGTAGTTATTCCAGTTTTAAGATGACACCATAACAATGTCTTCTAATAAATGGAATAAGTTTGAAGTTACTTTACAGCATTTCAGTGCAGGACCAACTATTTCAAAAGGAGATTCATAGTTCAGACTCTGGGCCCAGCTTCTCAAAAAGTTGCAGATATTGTCTTTGAAACATTTATAAAATGGTTGGGCAAGTATCAAAACTGTAATATTTAATGCTACAGAATAAAGCTACATACCGTCCTGTTCTCTGTTACCGACACACAAACACTGCAGTGTCTGTTGTAACTGAAAACAGGGAACTCTATTATCCACGTCACATCGACATAATCTAATTGTTTTCCACATCTTTCCTCATTAAACCGACTCGTGGTCTTCACACATTTCAGCAAGATACATTATCAGTCTGTGATGACTCATATTAGCTCAGGCCTCTGTATCTCAGCCGCGCCTGTTTTCATCAATAGAGGTTCATCATCTGGTAAAAAATGTTCAGCTAACAGGAACAAGAGATAAAGGATGTGGTTAGTGGAAGCAGACTAAATCTCTGTTTATTTCGCGTGCTGATGCCACAACAGTATTTCATGAACAAAGGGTTGTGCAAACCTAATGCTAATGAAGACATGTTTGTCACTTAAATTGTTTTGTTGCCTGGGAGAGATTTAATCCCTGGTTAATAGTGTGGTAACCTAGAGATGGTCCCTTTCCTGGCAGAGCCGCCTGATGTTTGTTTTAGCTTGTGTGTTACAGTAGCAAGTTTTGCACCAAAACCATTCATCTTATCTGTAGAATTATTTCTTTGAAGTCTACCAAATTAAATTCTAAGGAGAATTCATGATCATGTTATTGCCTATGGTGACAGATTAGATGAAAAAAAAACTACTTCTGAGTGAATGTTATCAAAAAGCCACTGAACTGTTCCACAACTTCAAAAGTAATTTAGCGGTATCCTCCTTTAAATTCTTACACGCATGAATGATAGCACAAAACTAAAAACTGACGTGTAGGACTTGGGAGTGTGTGGCTGAAATGTCGGGAGGACAGAGATTAAAAAGCAGGTTAAAGGCTGCTGCTCTTTCCATAGGCAAGGTTGTCAAACTCGTTCTGCAGACAGACTCTCCAACCCCCCCACTCTTAAACGTGTTAGCATTCTTCCTCGGGTCAACCCTTCAAGAGGAAGGAGGTTAGACTCGGGGCAACGAAGGAAACAGGCGACAACATCTTCGCCAGAGTTTAGTCATCTGGATTCGGTTTGTTGGCTTTGATCCAAAACACTGAAAAGATCAGTTTGGTTTAAAAATAGCCCATATCATGCGTCTCATAATTCATGGGAAATATCTGAACAAAAAAGGGCAGTGTTTAACACAGCTAACAAGTCATGGATACACAGGTGAAATACAGTAGAACTTATGGGTAAATGGTAGACATGAGTAACTAAAAGTATTAGTAATGCAGTAAAAGTCATAATATAGAAAAGTAATTAGAAAAAAGTTGAATCTTCTGCCTCTATAATCTGAATTAGAACAGAATACAACATGGACAAATTATCCCAAACACTCAGAGTTAATTGTATTAAAAATAAATGACATCTGTCTAAAAATCAGTACAAATGAACAGATTTGTAACCTGACAAAGTGAGGTCAACTTAAGCTCATCTGATATGGCTGTGTGTGTAACATCTGACAGGAAAAAATTGGAGACTACTGAAGCAGAGAATCGATAAATCCTTGGCTATCAGCAGGAAGGGAAGAGTATTGTCATCGAATTAGGACTGTGATACTATCAACATTAAAAGATGTGACTATTAGAAGATCAGCATCACTCACTGTTAATATGCAGTCAATACTGGGAAACAGGGGAGACACTGCTGTATATCAGAAAATAATAGCAAGAAGAAGATGTCAGATATAAGCTGTTGACTTTTAAAGCATCATTAAGCACTAACAGCCATCACCATGATCTCCCTCCGAGCATATGTGAATAGGAACAGTAAACATTATGAGCCCCACAGCTGGGCACGCTCCCATAATAGTCACAAATCTATTTCTGAGCAGTTAAACTGATAACCTCTCAGATCATCAATAAGGGGGCGGGGAGGGCGCTGTAATCTCTCCTCAGATACCCTGCCTGTCTGTCCTTTTAAAACAAAAATCCCTACCTCTTCCTCAGTTGCTATGGTAACCGAAGCGGCGGGTTGACCGGTGCAGACTGGGTTGGTGATTCAAAGTAAAGCCTCTTTTCAAGCGCACGTTACCCTCCCTTTTTAATCTGCTCTGGATGTTTATGGGGGAGAAAATAGGATTGCCTCTAATTCAGCGGACACAAAACAAATAACAAAAAAACATTTAGGATTACAGGGTAAAATGTAGCCTGCAGTCACTCAGCGGGCACTGAAATCCTGCAGAGCTCCAAAGACTAGACTTTGTAATCCATCGGTGTGTGTAGTATTTACATGCGATATAGAGCACTCTCCAGGGGGGGAGGGGGGGAAGTGGAACCTGAGAAGGATGAGCAGGAAACGAGGCGAGGTGAGCGAGCAGACCCCTCTCTGCTCAAGGTGACTTTCCTTTTCATTGACCTGATTATCTGTTCTCCGCCCCTCATGATGGAAAAAAGTATGCCATCCTCTCTCACACACACACACACACACACACACACACTCACTTAACCCTGATAATGGGCTGCATTTGCTGGTGGGAGGTAGCAGCCCGTATAGCCTCTGTGCACCAACACATATTTCCACCGCCGCCTCACCCTACCTCCCAGCCTTGTCATTACGGGGCATTCCCAGCATACACAGGACAACTCTCTCACCACCAAATCAGCCCCAGGGCCTGATGGGAGCACCCTGTCATCCTCCCCTCCCATCCCCCCCAGCCGGTTACTAAGGCAACATCGTTTTTCCGCACCGACACCCCCTAATAAGACAGACGTGACACAATCACCTACGTCTCGGGGAGAGGAATCCAGCCTGTATCCTGGCTGGGGAGTGACACTGACACACACACACACACACACACACACACACACACACACACACTATCAGCCGGTCACATGCAGTCCACACACACATTCCGATCAGCAGCCGGCTTCTCCTGCTCTCCTTTTGCTCATTTGATTACAGGGTAGGATAGACACAGATCCATGGAGCTCGTCTTACCCTGTCCAGCTCGCCTCTGTTGCATTCCCTTTATATCCTCACTGCAGCATCCAGATTTCTGCACCGTCGACAGAAAAACACAACAGCATTTCCTGCGCGAAGGTATGTAATCCACGCAGGTTCAAAGTTGTTGCTAATAAGCACCTTGATTCCCAGAGGCTGTCAAAAATCAGCCCGAGAGGAAACTCCCAGTCAGATGAAGGCAGTTTTCCTCTGATGGCAGGGGGGGCAGGCAGGGAATGAAGTCGCCGTACAGCATGAGATCATGTTTGAGATCATGGCGAGAACTTCTCCTCGGCGTATATATATCCACTCCCTCCCTAACCTCTCTCTCTCTCTCTCTCTCTCTCTGCCTTTCTCTGCAGAATGCCGGGGGCAGAGAGGACAGGCACAGATGTTACTGGCTGCAGGCCACACCCCTTTTCAACACTCCCAGTCCTAATAGGATGCAGCCGAGCCGTGGCCACCGCCCAGCTCACCCCCTCCCCCCTACGCTGCCTTTGGACAACTTGCTTTGGATTTGTTTGGAAAAGGTTTGTTCGGAGAGTTGCAGGAGGGAAACAAAGCTAAAATGTGTAAATGTGGGTGTGGGAGGGAGATAGATGGGAGGAAGTGAAAGCGTGACAAGGCAACTGGAGACATGTCAAAAACATTAAATGAGAGAAAACAGAGGAGTTTTGCACACGCCCATTTCCTACCTTAAAGGAATACTTCTACCCTCAAATGGTCAGTGTATGTCACATACTCATCCTGTTTTACCTACAAGTGGTAAAGAAACAAAGAATCCAAAATAGGAAACATTTGATGAATTGTAGAATGTAGTGAAAATGCATGTTTTTGAAGTATGGAACATATGACCTGATAAATAAGACTTTACTGTGATTATACCACAAGAGTTGTGTGAGTTTTGATGCTGCTGTTGTTTAACGCGGCCCACATTTACTTCAGACTGAAGATATTTCTCCATTTTGAAATCTTTTGAACGCATGCGAAGAAAACTAAAAGATTTCATTATGACTTCAAGGTAACAAAGAGTGGGTAATTGATTTTCAAATGAACATGTTGGAAATAAAGTATTCCTTTAAACACGTCCTGTTTATCATTAAAACCTTCAGCCCGAGCTGTATTATCCCATCCAAACAGTCTGGCGAAGACGTGACAGCTGACAGAATATCCAGAGGATTTTCATCTAAACAATTCAAGACACTCCTTCGTGATTTACAGCCCTAGCATCACTCCTGCATCCCAGCTAATTACTGACTCAGCATCCATAAAACATCGCTGCAACATAGTGATATTTTTTGGGACTGTAGCAAAGGGATTGTCTATAGAGGATGGTTAACAAAAAAGCATTTAACTTGAAATAAATATACCCAAAGTGACAGAAATTTGGCCTTTTGCTGCAAGATTTCCCAAACGTCAACAATGAACAATGAAAAACAATGAAAGACAGATTTCCGTCAGTTTCATTTCATGTCATTCTTCTAAGGACTTTAGAGAAGGCCCAAGTTATTGTCTCGACAGAAAACTCAATTATCAACCACTGTCAAAACTATAGGTTTCACTGTGAGAAACTCAAATGAAAAAGGCGGTACATCATATCAGCTGTCGCTAATTAACGTTTATTTTGTGAGTGAGTTGATGGCAGGCCAACATTAGGCTTGACTGCTGAAGGATTTGTGTGCTCTCTGCAAGCCGGTGTCTGTATCCAACCAAAGATTGTTTATGAGGTTGAAGAAGCCTCACTCTGTGACATCACTGTAAGTGTCCCGAGTGCTTATATACTTCCCACAGAAGTGTGATAAAACTTCTGTGGGAAAGAGTCAAGCTAGTTACAGGACTCGCATACTTCCTGTTAAATAAACATATTCATTGGTTTTGAATTGGATAGTCGTCAAATGGTTCGTTTTTATGTCATTTTGTGTGCTTTTTGTAATTGAGTTGCTGTTGGTACCAAATACACAATATCTCAATAACTCAGTATCTGCTCATCCCTACATTAAGAGGTTTAAAATGCAAGGGTATAGTTGACACTACATGAGAGGGTGATGAATCAACTCTTGTATCTTGAGGCTATAACATCCCAAACCAATTACTTTGGTGAGAAAATCAGAACATGTTCTCCTAAGAAAACAGAAGTCATCTACTTGATTCAGGCCAGACAGGTCTTGTTGTTGACAGAATAAGTGTCACCTAGACCTCATCAACTTCCTGTTCTTCAGAAGTGGGTGAAGTGTTACTGAAGGGTATCACAATAACAACACATCATAGTGCTTTTTTGTACATTATACTATCAGCACATAGTGACGAGAAGCGGCAAAAACACAGAGTAGGGTATCAAATGTTCTGTAACGGAGACTGACAGAGACAATGGATTTACGCTCCTCGCCAAGACTCGAAACACTGCTCTGCCAGAATAAAGTCACAAATCCAACCTACAAGCAAAACCTTATCCTCAACAGCTGTGAGTGAGCATTCAATACCCCTCAGTGTTAGAAATGCTTCCTTGCTTCATCCCTTAACCACGAAAAGCACAAACCAACCACTTTCCATTAAGGATTATTATTTTTATGGACCATTAAGGTCACTTCACATGATTTTTTGGGTAATTAAAACTTCAAAGTTTTAAACAGCTGCCTCTCTAGCTGCCAGCGTTGTAAAGTGCCTGCAGCCATAACATTTCTGGACCACTTCCAAGTAACATGTCATGCTCGCTGAAATAATACAATCTTGTAATTGTCTAATCTTCTTAAAAACGTTCTGCTTTGATTCTGAATTGCCGTATCTGAGACTGTAGCTTGATCCCAGAAACGGGGTCTGTGTGAAACAGTTTATCTCCACAGGTCTGGTGTTGCAGACATCAGTGGCGATCCGCGCCGGTGTAGTCATGTGTGGATAAGAGTGGAAGCTGTGCAGTCCTGGGTAGCTGCCTCTGTAAAGAACGTCCTGCAGCTGGAACAACAGACAGGTCCTGTTCCCATGCAGGGCTTCTGTTCTGCTGGGATTGATCATCCGTGTCAATAAAAGCCGGACTGATGTTTTGGTGACCTCAAAGGCCACAGGTACATACAGCAAGGAATGTATGGTGCACTGCGGATGCTGCGACTCCAGGTATAAAAGGCGTTGTCGGGCCTTTCTGTGTTTAAAGTAAGATTTAAAGCAGAGATGCTTTATAACAACAGATGCTGGATTCGCCTATGATATGGTTTACATTTGCTTTCTCTTAGGTTGCCACAGCCTTATGTTTTCATACACTATTTTTTATTTACATAGCTAATATCATTACGAAAATTATCTTCAAGGACTGACAACATTTGGCTTAACAAAGCAACAGAAAGAGAAGCAATGTGTGTTGCCATATACAGTGGGGCAAAAAAGTATTTAGTCAGCCACCAATTGTGCAAGTTCTCCCACTTAAAAAGATGAGAGAGGCCTGTAATTTTCATCCTAGGTATACCTCAACTATGAAAGACAAAATAAGAAAAAAAAAATACAGAAAATCACTGTCTGATTTTTAAAGAATTTATTTGCAAATTATGGTGGAAAATAAGTATTTGGTCACCTACAAACAAACAAGATTTCTGGCTCTCACAGACCTGTAACTTCTTCTTTAAGAGCGTCCTCTGTCCTCCACTTTTTAACTGTATTAATGGCACCTGTTTGAACTCGTTATCAGTATAAAAGACACCTGTCCACAACCTCAAACAGTCACACTCCAAACTCCACTATGGCCAAGACCAAAGAGCTGTCAAAGGACACCAGAAACAAAGTTGTAGACCTGCACCAGGCTGGGAAGACTGAATCTGCAATAGGTAAGCAGCTTGGTGTGAAGAAATCAATTGTGGGAGCAATTATTAGAAAATGGAAGACATACAAGACCACTGATAATCTCCCTCGATCTGGGGCTCCACGCAAGATCTCACCCCGTGGGGTCAAAATGATCACAAGGACGGTGAGCAAAAATCCCAGAACCACACGGGGGGACCTAGTCAATGACCTGCAGAGAGCTGGGACCAAAGTAACAAAGGCTACCATCAGTGACACACTACGCCGCCAGGGACTCAAATCCTGCAGTGCCAGACGTGTCCCCCTGCTTAAGCCAGTACATGACCAGGCCCGTCTGAGGTTTGCTAGAGAGCATTTAGATGATCCGGAAGAGGATTGGGAGAATGTCATATGGTCAGATGAAACCAAAATAGAAGTTTTTGGTAAAAACTCAACTAGACGTGTTTGGAGGAGAAAGAATGCTGAGTTGCATCCAAAGAACACCATACCTACTGTGAAACATGGGGGTGGAAACATCATGCTTTGGGGCTGTTTTTCTGCAAAGGGACCAGGACGACTGATCCGTGTAAAGGAAAGAATGAATGGGGCCATGTATCGTGAGATTTTGAGTGACAACCTCCTTCCATCAGCAAGGGCATTGAAGATGAAACGTGGCTGGGTCTTTCAGCATGAAAATGATCCCAAACACACCGCCCGGGCAACGAAGGAGTGGCTTCGTAAGAAGCATTTCAAGGTCCTGGAGTGGCCTAGCCAGTCTCCAGATCTCAACCCCATAGAAAATCTTTGGAGGGAGTTGAAAGTCCGTGTTGCCCAGCGACAGCCCCAAAACATCACTGCTCTAGAGGAGATCTGCATGGAGGAATGGGCCAAAATACCAGCAACAGTGTGTGAAAACCTTGTGAAGACTTACAGAAAACGTTTGACCTCTGTCATTGCCAACAAAGGGTATATAACAAAGTATTGAGATGAACTTTTGTTATTGACCAAATACTTATTTTCCACCATAATTTGCAAATAAAGTCTTTAAAAATCAGACAATGTGATTTTCTGGATTTTTTTTTCTCATTTTGTCTCTCATAGTTGAGGTATACCTAGGATGAAAATTACAGGCCTCTCATCTTTTTAAGTGGGAGAACTTGCACAATTGGTGGCTGACTAAATACTTTTTTGCCCCACTGTATCACGAGAGCGTGTTGCTGAGACACACTATTAAAACTTCTCAGACTGAAAGAGAAACTCGGGCAATAAATTGTGTGTGAACTTTATTGCACTAATCTGTTTATTATTGAACACGCAGACAAAAAACTCAACTTTAGTCTTTTCTTACTGTTTTATCAACAGAAATGACCTATTTCTCTGTTGCTTTGGACTTTTATGAATTTGTGTAATGTCATAAACAAAACATGATATATCAGACACAAACTTGCCATCCTCCCCAATGATTCAAGACAAGAATGAAGTGGTGAAAGCTGCTGGAGCTCTGAAACACTTTGCAAGGCATCAGCAGGGGAACAAGGAAACATGGCAATCTGATTGGCTGCAGATTGTGGATGACCCTGAACCGTT